ATGGCAGAGGTGTGAACAGGACCTACTGCTAACGCTCCAATCTTGGCTGTTACTGAAAGCACATCCTTCATCCTCTGGCCTCTGAATGAAACTGAGGAGTGGAAATCTTTCACCTGAGAATCACTGTTGCTCTTTGGTTGTTGCAGTGGTTTAAACTTGTAAAGCAGACTTTATACGGTCTTCACTTCCCCTCTGCTTTAGCACAGAATAGCCCTTTTTAATCTGCAAAAAAATAATTCTGATTTATTTTGTAGTATTCTACTGATTACTAAACTTTTTGTAATTTAGCAGACCATTACTAGAAGCTAAGAATAATAGCTCTAGGCCATAGTGGCCTGCTGGGAAATGCAGATTAGGAAATATCCTGTTGCACTTGGTGACACCTGATTTATAGTTGCCTTTGGTGCAGTGCACAAATGAGGTGTCCGCTTTCAGCACCAGTTAACTCCGGGTCGTAGCCGCAGCACACCTCACCACACAGCCAACGGTTGGGTTACTTCCATGCTGGAAAAAACAGGTCTGTTTCTCAGGCACAGGCAGCCCCAGTAGGACCAGGGCAAGTCCCATTCACCAGAGCAACACCACATGAATTTCTGAGCAGCTCTCATGCTGGAGCCTACTCCTCTCTGTATTTTTACACTGCAGAAAAACCAAGAGGTAATCAGGATATTTCCCAAAGAAATCAAGGATCTGTGATCACACGGTTGGCCCAGCTCTTACCACTTTTGAATCTATTAGCAAAATCCAACCAAATGTGACAGCAGGATCTGGTCCCACATGGTCTGTGAAAGCCGGTGAGCACCTGGGGAAGAGACACATCAGCTGTCTTCAGCGAGGGGAAGGTGACAGCAGGCACAAAGCATTACCAGTTTTTCTGGGCCCCCCAGCTGGTGCCCTACAACTGGCCATGGCACATGCTGCCTCTTGCCTGCATGAGGGAACAGTGGGGGCAGGAAGAACTGAAGGTGGGTCAGGGCCCAAGAAGATGTTCTGTGGTCTGGGGGAGGCACGGGGACAAGAACCAGACTGCAGTCACTCTGCCCTTCATGATACAACTTGTTTCTTTCTTCACAAATAATAATTCTGTCAAAAGAGTCCCCTTACTTATGGGAAGTTCATGTCTTATTTCAATGTCACTGGAATGCTGGAGGAGCTATCGGTGAAAGAGGAGAACCAGAAGATGGAGTTGTGGCAAGCTGACAAGCAGCCAAGTTTGACAGAGCGCTCAAGAGAGGGGAAGGCAGCCAGCAGGTTGGAAAAGATGAAAGCTATCCTTGGGATTTGGCCAAAAATGTTGGACATCTTTCCAGCCTTGTGATCCCACATCGGTAACAATGACATCAAGAGGTGCTTGAGAAGCACCAGAAATGGGAACATTAGTGGTCTGGAAGGAGGAGAGCTTGGCACTGCCTTACCAGCTCTACCTGTCCTCAGCCTTGACTGCTCTTGAAGGGAAGCTGGAAGCAACAGCCCTCAGAGCCAGCCCTCATCTCTCAAAAGAGGGAGGCAGTGAGCCACCCTTAGTTGGAAATAGACAAAGTCCTCCATGCTGCCTGCGAGCCACTGCCAGGATCTGTCCTGACATGGCACTCCAGATGGTTGGTGCACCCTTGTGAATCACCTCCTGCCATGGGAAGGCCAAGAAGCCCCACTGAGCCAGCTTCTGCACTGCTCCCGCGATCTTCTGGGGACAAATCAGACAGTCATGCACAGAGCTACAAGCGCAGCCGCGTCACCCTTGTGGTTTGCCTCCTCTGAGAAGGGAGAGATACCCTGGCATGATACCTGACTCTAGAGGCATCCTACATGGAGTCTTCCAGGCTGCAGGGTCCTTTCCAGGTCTTCCACGGTCTCTTGTTCTTGCTGTGTTTTTCCTTCCAGCTACACTCTGTTTTCCCTGTCTACCTCCCAAAGCTCCTCCACATGTTCATCCCACCCACCCTCCCCCCCCCTTTTTTTTTTCCAAACCTTGGAGACAGGCAGTTTTATCAGCAAGAGCTTTTGTCCTGGGAAAAATATCAATATTTACCAGTGCTGTTCTGTCAGCACTGCATGTATGCTTGTCTTGAAAATGCCTTTGCTGTCTCAAGGACCAGCTGGTCAGAAATAACATCATTATATGTATATATATATATATATATATAGCAGATTAACTACACCTCCTAATGCACCACCTGCCCAAGGCTGTTTACCAACAGAGCACTGGAAGCCATTCCTGGGAATGGCTGTTGGCATCCAAGGTGAGACTCCAGCAGATCAGTAGGATATATTCATTTGGCAAAGCATTCTGAGTAACGGACACTGAGGACAAAGTCTACTTGCAAACAATGGGAGGACACTCCCGCCTAACCCCCACAAAGTGACTAAGGTTATTAAATGTCTTTTCTGCACATGATTCTTCAAGCTATCCTCATGCACAGCCTTCTTTGCCCAAACACAGAGCAGTAGCCGGTCAATGCTTTATAATCCCTGGGACTGACTGAGCCCTCAAGTCTAACCAAAAAAAAAAATCAACACAAGGGCCTGACCCTGGCAGGATTAGTACCCCATGCTGTCTGAAAACTGCTTTCCCCATGTCAAACATAGAGCTCAGCCCAAGCTGACTGCAGTTCCCTGAAGGGTTTACGTGTTCGCTGGTGTAATTCTCACAAACAGCTTCTCAGAAAATGTCAGCGACAGGGTGTGTAAGGGATGCCTAACACAAAGAGAAAACACATTCCTCTGTCTGAGAGGACTAAGATGTTTTTAGACAGAAATTATGTGCCTAGAAGGTAGTGCCGTCCTTATGTGTTCCCTCTGCAATACAGCACGGAAGCTCTGAGAACAAAAAATACACATGGTGGGTGCAGGGCAAGAAATAGAAAAACACAGAAAATTAGGCATTTTGTTTTACATCACATTCTGTACTGAGCACTGACTCTGTACATAGCAAGGACAAGAATGAGTTACTGTTTGTTCCATTAAAGGTTTGAAATTTCACTCACTTTGAAATTTCAGAGTCAGCGACTTGGAGACTTAAATTGCCTAACTTAGGAGATTTAAACTGCCTAACCTTTCTTTCCTCATTTGCTTGACAGCCCTTTCTGGATGATTAATGGAAAGCTATAAACAGCATTTGCATAAGGCTATCTGTCTCTTTACTAGGAAGAAGAGGTTCCAAAACTGGCTTTGTAAGACGAACAAGCAACCAATAGGAGCCTAGCTCTGAGCAAGCAAACAGACAGCACAGGTCTCTACTATTTACAAGCCAGCTCTCATCAGCCAGAAAGCAAGAACCAGTCCTGACTGTTGACACAAGAGCAGCATTCCTCTCCCCAAGTGACCAACAGTCAGACCTTTGTCCCCAGCTCCCCAGGCAGTATTAGGAGCCCCTAGCAACACACACCTACTAGTAAGGTTACCCCCAGGGCAGTAGCATTCCCAGCCTCAATGACACGAAGGTGTTTTGTGAAGGAAGGTATCCAGGGTGTCTCCTTCACCCAGGCAAGCGGCAGGCAGCAATCGGCAGGTTAGCAGTTGCCCTTCCAGGAAAGTGCGTCTTCCTCCTCATCACAGGTGCCATTTCCCCAACTCTGGATTGGCAGCACACAAACAAGCCCAGGAGATACACACACACACACTATGGAAAATGGAGCAAGCTCTCCTTCTAAAAACAGAGCCTTGCCAAGACTGCACAAGCCAAATCCAGGAGTTTTGCTATATTCCATCTCCTGCTGCGCTTGCCTAGTTGCCCCAGTTCAGGACAGACACCTGTAAACTTGTGCCTATGGCTCCTACGGATGCTCAGACTGTCCCCAGATCTTCCCGTGGTGAGCTGGGTTCTCTGCTGGCTCCTTGTTGTTGTTTAACCCCAGCCGGCAACTAAGCCCCACGCAGCCGCTCACTCACTCCCCACCAGTGGGATGGGGGAGAGAATCGGAAGGGTAAAACTGAGGAAACTCGTGGTTGAGATAAAGACAGTTTAATAGGTAAAGCAAAAGCTGCGCACACAAGAAAAGCAAACCCAGGAATTCATCCACCTCTTCCCATTTGCAGGCAGGTGTTGAGCCATCTCCAGGAAAGCAGGGCTCCATCACACGTAATGGTTACTTGGGAAGACAAAACTTTGTAACTCCAAACATCCCCACTTCCTTCTTCTTCCCCCAGCTTTATCTACTGAGCATGACGTCATATGGTCGGGAATATCCCTTGGGTCAGTTGGGGTCAGCTGTCCCAGCTGTGTCCCCTCTCAACTTCTTGTGGCCCCCCAGCCTCCTCGCTGGTGGGGTGGGGTGAGAAGCAGCAAAGGCCTTGACTCCGTGCAAGCACTGCTTCAGCAGTAACACCTCTGCATCATCACCACTGTTTTCAGCATAAATCCAAAACAGCCCCATACTAGCTACTGTGCAGAAAATTAACTCTATCCCAGCCAAACCCAGCACACTGTCCCGTCACTGCCAGCAGCACTATGTCCCACACCATCTCCATGGAGAACATACAGACTGGGTGAATGACATTCTAATTCCTGTTCCCATCAGCACCATGGGTTTTCTCTGGATTTCCTTTGGCTATATTACCAATCCGCCCTGCTCCTATTTTGCAGAGAGGGTGTAATGAGACTACAGCTTACTTGGAGAAAATATAAGAGTTGCAAGCACAACAGCAGCTCCCAGGAGTGTGACTGTGCTATATGCATATGTAGAAGGCTGGAATCCAGCCGCCTATCTAACAGGGAGGCAGAAGCCATATTCAGACTGCCAAGCCCTTCCAAGGCACGAATGCAAACCCTTTGGAATGTGCCCCAACGAGCAGCCTTGGCCTCCTCAAGAAGGACAGCACAGACTATCGATCCTGCAGAATGAAACACATCTTGACCCTCCTGTGAGGTAACTGTTCAGACTGAGTTTCCCCTTAGAGCCTCACCCCACGGGCCTCAAGTCCTCAAAAATTAAGGCAGCAGTACAATTCCCAGAGTTTGCTCCTGTTCAGGTACGAAACGACTTTGCATACACACCCCCGGGTGGAATATAAGGCACAATTTTATTTTCCCTCATCCCCCTTTCTCAGCTCACACCCCTCACGACGTTGTTTTCCGGCAGCAAGGCTATGTGGTGATCATGGGGATCCTTGTGGTTTATGCTCACGCAGCAGCAAGGAGCAGTGCCCTGGGCTCGCAGGGGCTCACCTGGCTGCTCAGAGTGCCACTGTCCTGAGCAAACTCCTCTGCGAGGTGTCGCTGGGCGGCCCACCCAAACACTCTGAGCTCTCCTTCACTTGTCCACAGCACGACCAGTGGGGGCAGCCAGGGTGACCTTTGTGTCCATGACCACAGCCTTGGTACCCACCTGCAAGAGAAGAGGCACCATCAGATCAACCCAACGCAGGCCCAAAAATCCCAGTGTGTCAGAGGCTTTTGGAGAGTGCTTCAGCCCCAGGACTTCTCTAAGACGGGGAGGCACGTGCTGATGAGAGCACAGCATATTCAAGGCAAAAATTGCCAGGGCTCCATAAAGAAAGGAGAACAACTGAGAGGGACCTCCCCATTCCAAACAATGGGGAAAGCTGAAGATTTCCTTCCCCCTGCCTGTTGAGTAATGCAAGACACAGGCCTGCAGAACCCCATGCCAGCCACTGGTGGCTATGGCCAGAGCTAGATACAGACCAAGCATAGAAAAAGGAAGAGGCTGATTCTATACTAAAACAGGCAAACCACACAATGACACATGCAGGTCAAGGACGGGGAAGCTGGTTGGGATTAAACAAACAAGGGAGCTGAACTCATCCCTAAATGAGGAGTGAGGCTTCTCCATAGGACAGCATCGGGCACCGTGCGACACAGCCCAGAAGCTCCCAACCTGCCAGCACTGGAACAGGAACCATATAGACACAGGGCTGCTCAGCCTCGCTGAGGAGGACAGAAAGACAGAGCTGCCCTGCCCCATCTTCTGCAGAGCTGGCTCAGGTCTCTGTCTCTGGGGTGTGCTGCAAAGACCTTTAGCGTGTCCTGCTGCATTTCTCACTGCTGCAGTCCCATCCTACCAGAAGGTATGTACACACAGTTTATCACAGGCCTGGTGGATGTGCAAGGCAGGAGTTGGGCTGGAGTATCGACTCACACCTATCTACACGAGGGAGGACCAAATGCAACAAACCTTCCTGATGCCAGCAGGAAGGGGAAGGCTGAGCACTCACCTGGCATGGTACCTCCACAGGCACAGCGAGCAGCTTTCTGCCCTCCGCTTGAGCAGAACGTGCAGCAGTGAAACACACCTTGGTGCTCACGGAACTTGTTTTTCACCATCAGAGTGAATGGAGAGCCCTGCAGAGGACAAGCAAGCAGAGAGGCTGCTGTAGTGGATGCTATCAGATGTTGTGTCTGCTTTTTCAAAAACCAACCGGGTAATCCTGTCAGTCACAGATCGCTAAGCCCAGTCTTAAACTGCTAAGTGGTAGAGATAATCCTTAGAAATATTTAAAGCAAATCCTTAGAAAAGAAAAGCAGATAAAGAAGAAGCAGTGCAAGAGAAACAAGAAATGCTACCTGTACATGTTGCCCTTTCACACAGACGCAGACAGCATACAAGCCTGGCTCCTCAGGGCTGTAGGAAATATGGTAGGTCCCATCACCATTATCACACACTGTTGGTTTGACTGCACTACGAACAGAGAGAAGTCCAAGAGGTCAGTGACTGGCAGAAAATTATCTACATGTGAACCACTGTTTGGCCTAGATTTGTGGTCAGCTCCTTATCCTCAGCCTTGTTCAGCAGCTGTGGGTCTCAAGCGAGCTTAACAGGATGCACCAGCAATGCTCAAGCACTGAGTGGCTTTCACACACACCTGCTACTGGGAGCTGCAATAACCTTACAAAGGAAGTCACACAAAGCTAGCTGCACTGCAAGGATTTGTAGCAACCCCGAGCTCTGAAAGAGCAGAAGATGACAGACAGCACACTTGCAGGTCAGATCATCCCATCAGATAAGAGTCCTCAGAAATGGGGTAAATTCACAACTTCAGAGAGCAATTACCTCCAGAAAAGCCCACAAAGAAGACAGGACATAAATGGGGCAGGTTTGGATCACTTCAACCACTGTCCCATCTCTATTGACCCCAACTCTTCAATGCTCTGAGGAGTTCTAGCTCCCTGCTGGTGAACTCTCCCTTTCCAAAGTGAAGCTCACTGGGTTTCACAAGGAACCCTGGTGGACAGAGTACCAGGGAGAAAGCATCAGCTAGTTACTCGGGGACTGATTGCCTGCTTCACAGAAGGATGGAAAGAGCTTTCCGCAGACAATTATCAGGCAGCTCTGCATAGGGGAAGCTGTTCTTCCTAACCCCCGCTAGTTAGTCTCTTGTGCCCCATGACATGACAGTATATAATCTTCCAGATTTGCAGGCTGTATTCCCCACACCCCACCATTTCACATCGATACAGCTGCCTACATCATTTCCTGCCGTGAACTGTGTGGTGATACTTCACGTTCTTCTGTAGCTGCTGTGCCTCAACCCAAAGCCAGACGGCTTTCAGCAACGGATGTAGTAACTGCATATGCACAAGAACAAGATATTGAGTTAATGTGGCCACAGCGACCTCTACCCCACCAAGCAAAATCCACATAACCCTCATGTGCACACCTTCCTACGTCATATGTGCACCTAGGGAAGGAAGGAAGGTACATTGGAACAATATTCTTGAACAATGATGCTCTATTGATAAGCATCTGTGCAGCCAGCACTGCTTCTGTATGACTTGTCAACACTCCCCCATAGCAAGGAGTTTTAGCATCCTGTCCATTTTTTCATCAGGTCATCCCACCAACAGTGGATCCTTGAACAAGTTATGCTGGCATCTTGCTCCAGCTATGTTGTACATACTATAAAACACACATTCTTCTTGAGAACTGACCCCTTATTGGTTCTACATTTGTGCCTGGCTGCTTTATAGTAACCAGTGTAGCCTGCAAACAGTTACAAAATATTTTTTTCTGGTTGGTCATTTTCATTGCAGAAACACTTAGGAGGTCAAGTGTGGTCTTTCCTGCTTTTGCTAGAAAGCCTCCAAACATGTTAAAGTGCTCAACGCTTGCGACTACAGGAGAAAGCACGATAAAGTCCCAACACAGATTCTTTCTCCAGAACACAAACTAGGCACTTCGATCAACTGTCAGAGGCTCCGGGGCTTGGTGGACTGTCTGTCTGACTCAGGACGGTCATTCTGGGGCTGCGATGTTTTACACTCATTAGGTGTTGAGAAAAGCAGGAGCCCTGGGTGTCTGCCGGTAGGGGTGGGAAGGAACAACAGCTCACTGAAAATGTCTAACACCCACCAAGCGTTGAATCTTTTAAGAAGTCCCAAATCACTCAAAGACTCAATATAAATCTGAGCCAACACTGTCAACCTCCACGCAGCCAAATACAACCTGTAGGAAGCACTGCTATACCAGTGGGAAGAAGAATAGTGCCTTTTCCCCTACAGATTCTGACCCACATGCTGAAGCACATCCTCCCACCCGCCCAAGCAAGGAGGGAGCCAGGGTAAGGGAGGCAGAAAAGCAAACCCAGTGACCAGGGAGTTCTCAGGCAAAATACCCACCGGTCCCTCTTGTCCTTGTGGGTGATGGTGACCTGCACGGCCTCTCCTCCTCGCCCCATCCGCTCCCCCATGGTGTCATTGCAGAGCAGGGTAAAGCCAGTCAGCTGGTTCTGACGGGCACTGTGGAGATCTGCAAGGCAGAGAAACAGGACCAGAAAGGATTCACACCAGCCATGACTGCCACCTCCCACCTATTTTGCAGCGTTGCTGTGCCATCAGAGCACAGCCAGGACTTTGCTGCCAGGGTGTACAGCTCCTTCCACTCACAGGGAAAAGTAAATACGTGACTGGGATCAGGAGAGAGTGGACAGCCATAGGCACTGAGAGATGTTGGACAGGCTTAGCCTGGAGGTCTGTATGGACCAGGGTGGTCTTCCTGCCTGTCCCTCTGAGCCCAGACAGCATCTTCCCAGAAGGCCTCAAGGTGCACCATGCAACTGGGAGGGAGAAAGAACAACCCCAGTGTGCAGCAAGGAACCCCAGAGACCTCAGCACTTACAGCTTGGCATGGAAGGGATTGAATGAGCCCTGGGTCTCTCTCATCTGTCCTGTGCAGGCCATTACTGACCAGAGCTGGCTGCGCTCTGTGGGCTGGTCTGAATGTTCTCTGTTTGCTTGCCCCGCTCCAAGTCCTTAGTAAGCAAATACCCATGAAACCATCAATGCCAGTTATCCCCATGGCAATCTCAGCAGAACTGTAAGGGGAAATGAACCTACTCGCTCAGCCACAGAGGGGATCGCCTGGGCCCATGCTGCAGGGCAGCTGGGGCCACCGGGAGAGCATCATGTCCTGCCATTGCAGGCGTCTTTCCCATCCCCCGAGTAAGCTGTGGTCTTTTGGCTTAAGGGTTGCTCTTCTCGCACCTCAGCCCCATCCTGAGGTCAGTGATGTTGCAGAGGGCAGCTCCAGTATGCTCTGTACATCTGGATGGGGATAGCTCTCTGGCTCCCTGCCCAGCACGGCTCCCATAGGCCCTCAGCAAGCAATGCAACCTCTGGCAGGGCTCTACCTCTGCCCCTAGTCAATGCCGGGACAGCAGGGAGTCAACAGTGCCTTAAGCTGCACACCACATGGGCACAGAGAACGGAAAGGTGACTTCAGGGAGCGGCGCGTTCCCATTCAGCTGTTGTACAGCACCCCATTACCTTCCCCGTGCAGGGTACATCTGGCTGGATCAACCACTTTATTGAGAATGGCCCCAAAAACTTCATAGCCACAACACTGCCCTGCTCTCTCCCGGGGAGAGAACTGGATCCTGTCGTCCACACTGGGGTGGGTGTTGTAAGCAACACTGTTCAGCTTTCCCAGCCGGCTTGCCACCACCCCTTTGGTGATAAGGATCTCCAGGTCTGAGCCGCTCATCAGCAAGTGCTCCGTGAACTCCACGCCTGTCCTCATGTCCAGCAGCAGCTGCTGCAGCTGGGCCTTCTGCAAGTGCAGCAGGTTTTCCTTTTGCATCTTCAAGTCCCCCAGCTGCTTCAGCAGCCGGTCCCGGTGCTCTTCAATCGCTTTCACATACCCACTGGCAAACAGACAAATCTCTGTGGCCACAGCCTCTGTGCGACTGCAGATGGCACTGCCCATGTCATCAATCTGGCCCAGCACATCTTCTAGGGTGCCCATGTGCTGCTGGGTGCTTTTCAGCAGCTCTCGCAGGGCGTCCCCATGCCTGTGGATGACATTGCCGATGAAGTCATAGGGGTGCTGCCGGTGCCTGTCTACAATGCAATCCCGGCACACAGGCTGATCACACTGCTCGCAGAATAGCCTCAGCTCCTCTGTGGGATGGGAAGGGCAGAAGAGAGGCTGCCCGGCCTGGTTGCAATCCTTGGTGTTCTCCAGCTCCGTCACAGCATGAGAGGCCGTCTTCTTCTGTCTCCTAGAAGGGAGCAACGACACATCACTTTATGCAAGTTGGATATGAAATGCAAACATCGAGATCCCTTGTGAATGCCAGTCTGTACAGACTGCAAGTCACAGTGTGCACTGCTCCCTCCTGTTTCTACTGAAATCCACTCTACATGAGGGGACTTGTGGTCTCCTGAGGACAAGGGTCCACACAAAAGAGGACAGCATCTGCAAGCAGCTCATGAGAGGCTGCTCTCAGGCTCCCTGCATACAGTCAGCACTATTTTCAGACAGAAGAATCGTATGCCCCACCATGGCCACACACAGACTGGGGAACGGGCTGTCAGGCTGCTACTGCCAGCAGCCCCTTCACGGAGCCTGAGAGAAGTGGGATAGTTGCAATTACCCCCAGACACCCTGTGACAAAGGCAGTAGGAGGGCAGTGGGCCCTGCAAAGTGAGAGCTGGCAGGAGGTGTCTCAAAACAGAATTGCTCACCAACAGTCACTTCTGGAGAGGAACAGGAGGTGCCAAGCTCCTCAGCCATCAGTCCAGTCATTTACACCAGCTTTAAATTTGCTGAGGTAAATGAGCTCTAATATCCCATAGGGGAAAATCTAGTTCAGGCCACTGCCAGAAGACAGTCTGTAGTAAAACATTTAATATTCCAAATGTCAAACTCCATTTCCTTCTAGCCACCAGGTTAGGTCCTGCTTGGCGGAGACAAAGGATGGGACACAAAGAACCTGTTATCACCCAGAAATCCACCATGTCACAAGGCAGCACTAGAATATTTCCATTTTATGCTATTTTGGACACTGGGATCTAGTTATTGAGCAGGATGAAAAAGCCTTCTCTCTTTCCTTGTCTCCTGCACTAACGACTTCTAGCAGTTGCGCTGGGAGCTCCAAGCCATAAGCAAAGAAATACTCTGAGGACCAAGCTCTACAGAGTTGCTCTGGCAACACAAAGCAACCTCATCACAGGGCAGGACATGGCCCTTGCACTCCTTTCACTTCCCACTAATCTCCCTTGGGTCCAGCACCTTTTCAAAGCCTTCTAGCATTATCTGCATAACAGCCTTCAAATTCACACTTCCCTGACTTCAGCCTAAAACCTCTCTCACTTATTCCAAGGAGCACAACAGTGGCACTCAGATCCTTAGAAGTCTTCCCTATACACCAGGAAATCATTTCAAAATGGTTTTCCTTTGCCCTTGTTCTGCTCTGCCATCAACTAACTCAGGTGCAAGTCTGCAGATGCCAGTGGGGTGAAAAAAATATCAGTAAATATGGTAGGAAGCAGGTCATCAGGACAAATTTTCTACTGCTTTATACCTTCTGCAGTTATTTCTATCAGTGCAGCAGGCTGCTATTCAAGGTCTCAGTTTATCACTCTTCAGCAGCCTGCATGGGGCATGAGGCATTAGCTAATCAGAATGGTATGCTGAAAATTACAGCTAGGAGTAGAAAGGTAACTAAGAGTCTAAGCCATTTTACCACAGGCACCAGTATCTGCAGGGGGGCAGGGCAGCGAGGAATATGCCTCAGTTCTTTCTGGGGAAAGAATTTGCTAATCAAGTGGAAAGGAGCAGCAGACGTGGAGGGAATAGTCTGAGCTGATTAACCCAGGCTAAGAGGCTTCCCTGGCTAGTGTTACTGGGTGTTTTTCCGACCCTGCCTGTCACCTCCTTGCTTCAGAAGGCCATTCAGACTTCCTATCACTTTTATTTCATGATGCTGCCTGTCCTCTGCCCTGCTCGCTGGCCACTGTGGCCACCTCCTCTTCAGTTCCTACCTCTGTTGCAGTCACCGCTTCTTCCTGCCTTACTGACATGACCCTCTCTGAGGTACACAGCTCTCTTCCGCTGTCACTTCTTCAGTTTTCCTGTATTCCAACAGAACTAAACCCTGCAACATCAGGCACACTGTGAAGCAATAGCATTATTGCTGTAAGCTCCCAGCCTCACAGAAATGCTGAAAATGCACACAAGATACATGGGCACAACAGTTAACAGGCAAGCAGACGGGTCCATCATCAGGAGGTAGCAACCACAGCAGGCAGGCTAGCGTCAGGACTTCCACTTACCTCCTTTCACTTCACCTAAGGGTGCCTTTGCACATACACACAGTAAACGTTTCTGGAGGTGGAGAGAGGCAGACCAGCAGCTTCACTTTCCCATTTTCCCTTGGGAGACATGCCTTCTCCAAAGCGGGACAGCACAACAGGCGAGGCTCTTGTCCTGCAAGTACTCTGCCCACACCCACGCCTGTTGGACCGCTGTCAGTCTCCCTGCCCAGACCGAGATGCAAAACAGCAAGCAGGCACCCCCACGGGCAAAGGGTGGCCTGATTTTGGACTGAACGGGGCTGACCAACCTACCGCTAGCAGCTCGCCGCTCCCCGCCCGAGTACAGAGCATCCTCCGGGGAGGATAAAAACCCGCTAGGAAATTGACCAAACTGGAAGACATACGGGTTTACCGCTCCCGCTAGCTCTCCGTGGCTCCCTGCCCGCTGCCACCCACCCACACGCTGCCCTCCAGAAGCCCAAAAGGGGAAGGCAGCCCCTCGCACCCCGTGAGGAGATGACCCCGGGCCGGGCCTCGCCTCCCCCTCACCTGTGGGCCTGGCAGCAGAAGAGGCAGAGGTCGGCCCCGCAGGTCAGGCACCGCCTGGCAGCCGCCCCGTCGGCGCAGAGGTCGCAGCCCGCCGCTTCCCGGCTTCGGTTCAGCGCCAGGTAGTCGGGGGTGAGCTGACCGATGCCGCCGGGCGGCAGCGTTACCTCAGAATCGCACACCGGGCAGAGAACGCTACGGGCGGCGGGGGTGGTGGCGGGGGGGGGGGCGCCTCCGCTGCCCCCC